CCCGGTACATACCCAGAGCTCCCAATACACGCCAGAGCCTCCAGTACATGCCAGAGCCCCCGGTACATACCCAGAGCTCCCAGTACACGCCCAGAGCTCCCAGTACACGCCCAGAGCTCCCTGTACACCCAGAGCTCCCAGTACACGCCCAGAGCTCCCAGTACACACCCAGAGCTCCCTGTACACCCAGAGCTCCCAGTACACGCCCAGAGCCCCCAGTACACCCAGAGCTCCCTGTACACCCAGAGCTCCCAGTACACGCCCAGAGCTCCCCGCACTGGACCCACTGCCAAGCGCTGATTATTTATTGCTCCCCTGCCCCCCGCCCCCGCCCCATGTGCTCCTGCTGACTCAGCAGTGTGGTCAGCACTTGGCGGGTGCGCCCGGATCTTTCCTCCTTCCTTCATTCCAGCGCAGCCGGCCCTACACCCAGGCACTGAGCCGCATGGGAAATGCCAGGGCTGCACTGCACGGCAATCACACGGAGCCGAAAGGCAAAGCAGAGCAGCAACCCGCCCCGCCCCCCTCCCCGCACACGTCTCTGCACAAGGATCTCGCTGGGGGCCTTCCCGCGAGAGGCGAGGCTCCCCCCTTTAAGGAGCTGCGGTTCTCTTTTCTGCGCCTACGACCCAGCAGGACGCGTGCCCGTGGCAGACCCGGCACATTCCCACGCCCTCATGGGGGAAGGGCCCGTCACAGGAAGTCAGACCTGCAGAGGCCCGAGCTCCTTTCCTCTGAGGCCATTTCTGTCTAAAAGGGAATCGAGGCGCCGGGAGGCGAACAGCCCACCCGAGATCACGGTCCTGGCGGGAGCTGGCCCGGGCGGGCGGCTCTCCGGCCCGTGCCGGCTGCAGGTCCACCCAGAGCTCGGACGGGACGCGGCGCACACCCCGCACGTCCGCAGATCTGTTTTGCATTCCCTTTTCCTGGCCCGCCCTCAACTTAAGCTGGAAAGTCCACGGAAAAATGAACAGGCCCGTGGCTGCCAAGAGCACAAATCACTCTCCCCCCCGAGTCTGGGAATCGGTACAACCACAACACGGAGGCAGGCAGGCAGGCCTCCGGGGCCCCTGCAGCTCAGGCTCCAGGGGTTTGGAAACATGTTGTCCTCATTTCGAGGGGGAAAAATCCGCGCCCAGCACTGAGCGGCCGTCTGTGGCGGGGCCGGAGGACCTGGCCGGACCGAGTGAGGATGGGGAGCAGTTCGGCGGGGGCGTCGGGCCACACAGAGCCTGGAGCCCCGCCAGGTTCCGCCCCGTTACAATATGATGGAGCCACAGAACCAGGTCGCCCCTTCCGCCCCCGCCCCCCTCGCCCCACCAAGGCACAATGGGGACGCTGCTGGGTCACGTGTCCGGTTCAGTGTGCGCACCAGCGAGTGAGCTGTGTTCTTCGCTGTTTGTTCTGGAATCTCGGATGCACAGGGTGACCCACGGCGAGCACGCCTGGTATTCTACTGCCCCGCCCGCCCGGCAGGCAGAGCCCGCACTCGGAGCCGCCAGGACAGGGTCCCGGTCATGTGCAGGGTGTCTCTGAGGCCTGGGGACCTTGAAAGTCTGTTACTTTGTCCCAGTTGCCAAAATGAGTTTTTGGATCCTGCCTTCTTGCTTGAGTTCCCATCGGAGACGATTTCATGCTGAGCTCTGGGAAAAGAGCCCCCGGCTCTCAACCGCCTTCAGCAGAGCCTGTCTCCCCTTAAGAGCAAGGAGTAGGTGTCCTCGCCCGGCCGGGTGGCTCAGTGGTGGAGCATCGACCTAGGAACCAGGAGATCACGGTTCAATTCCCGTCAGGGCACAGGCCCGGGTTGTGGGCTCCATCCCCAGGGTGGGGTGTACAGGAGGCAGCCGATCAGTAATTTTCCCTCATCTTTGATATTTCTCTCTCTCTCTCTCTCCCTTCCTCTCTGAAATCAATACAAATATATTTTTTAAAAAAGAACAAAGAGTAGGTGCCCAGCATGCGGCCCGCCGGCCCTGAGTTTGACATGCTTGATGTACACGCTCCCACCAGCCTTCGAAAGAAGGCGCTCGGCCCCAGGGGGCTCTATCGTCTACTTCTCTGTCCCCTGAAAGCACATTTCCTCCAATGTCAGGGCTCTGGGGGCCCTTTCCAGGGAACACCGCTTCCTCCCCAAAGCATAGCTGCTGGCTCCCCCTGGCTCCCCTCTGCCTGGTGATATGGCGGGAATTCGCGCTTCAGCATCGTTGTGCGAGACCCACGAGGACGTCCGGAAGGAGTCAGTGACGAGTGAAGGGGATGCTGCCGGAGGTTTCCCCTGCAGCAGGGGTGCCGGGTGGGCGGGGGGTGGGAGGAGGGGGGCTGTCACGAATGCCGCGTCCCCTCCCTTCCTCCTGGTTCCGCTAACAGGAGTGGACACCGTGCTAAAGGGGCTTCACACTGATCTGTGAGCCGTGACGGCGCGAGGTAATTGTCTTTGACGAGTATGTCCTCGTGTGGGGGCTGTCACGGCGCTTATGGAGGCGGCATCTTAGTTCAGGGGGCGTCTGAACCGATGGAGGCAGGGGGACCCCCGGAGAACTGAAGTGGAGGGGCTGCCCCTGGGGGGTCGCTGTGTCCAAGCCCGTTTGAAAGGGTCCCCGCCGGCGTGGCTCACTGAGCATCGTCTGTGGGTCGGAGGCCGAGTGGGGATGTCACAGCCGACCACTGCCCTTCTTGGCTGGAAGGGGAGCCACACCCCAGAGACGCTGGAGTCGCTTTCCCTGTCCGTTAACTCTGCGTCCCTAACCCGCTGCTGACCCCTCCTCCGTGGGCACAGCCCGGCCTCAGGCTCACCTGACGAGCTCCGGGAGGCCAGCGTGGCGGCCCCACAGACTCGGAGGCCAAAGGAACCACACAGGATGCTCTGGTCATGAAAACCCCTGAGCAAGAGCAGGTCCTGGCGGCAGTCACGGCCCCGGCCTGTGGCTCCCCCGGCCAAGGCCCATCTTCCGCCACAGCGGGCTGTCCATGTCTCTGTGTCTAGGATCACGGGCCCTGGCGATGGAGAGCAATCGTCTCTCCTGGGCCTCTCGGGGCACCATCTCCCCGGGAACACGAGCTCAGAGGAGCCTCACGGCTGTCTTGTTCCCCGAATGCCATCTCTACGGGCTGTGGATTGTTCACCACCCCGAACCCACAGGAGACAAGAAGTAAGTGTCCCCGCGTTTCACTCTCGGCTCCAATCCCAGCGATTTCCCGGCTGTGCTATCTCCCGCCCCCTCACCCACCACCCATGGGTGTCACGCACCCTCCTGTGCCTCTCCTTCGACTCCCGGCTATAAAATAAGCTGCAAAACTGCCACTCTCCGCAGCATCTTCCCAATCCTTGGGGATTTCGCTTCCCGGCATTGTTGTCAGTTTGGCTCAAATTAACTCATAACAATTCTCGGGGCGGGATGGGGAGGGAGAGGTCTGAACATTTCTTACGTCCACCAAAGCAAAAACATCATAACCTGTGGAACATTCCAAAGACTCCTCCATAAAGTAACCACCCAGAGACGCCGAGGAACACTGCAATTATTTGGGGAGCAAGCGCAGAAGGCGGGCGACCGTTTCTAGAGTTGCCAGCTCATCATACTGTAAATTCTAGGCATCTTTCAAACGTCATTTCAAAGGTAGGAGAACTCGATGGAGCAAAGTGACCGTGAATTTCCGAGTCAGAGGGACAGTGGGCTGGATCCCTACCCCCCGCGCCACCCTCCCCCCCCGCCCCCCGGGAACCTGAGCACGTCTCTTTGGGCCTCCATTTCTTCATCGACACGGTGCTGGGCATCATCCCTACCCCCGAGTTCGCCAGGGGCGACCACGTGTAAACCTCGCGAGAGTGAGGCCCACCCTTGGAGGGAGAGGAGAGAATGGCGGAGCTGAGTCCTCCCCTCCTCTCAGGAGAAGGCCTGAGAGGGACGCACGCCAACGAGAGGCAGAAGGAAGGAGACCCTTCGAATGTGGAGATGAAGAGAGTGTCCCACACTAGCGTGCTGCCCGCCCCGAGAAAGGCGGCCCCTGACCGCCAGGCCCGTGGCAGCGAGAGGACAGACTCACGTCGAGGATTTCCTTGTTGGCCTTCGGAGACGTGGCTTCCCGCAATTCCTTGATGGCCACGGGGATTTTAACCTTCTCGCCCTCCGGGATCCAGAGCCCCTGCGAGAGAGAGAGAGAGAGAGAGAGAGAGAGAGAGAGAGAAAGAGAGAGAGCAGGCATGAGGCGGCAGGCCTTACACACGCCACGTGGGGCTTCAGGAGTGACGCCGTCCGGAAGGGCCAGGGACAAGGAGCTCAGCCCTGCACGGCAAGGCCACCGGCACCAGGAGTCCCCAAGTCTCAGCGGCTCTTTGGTGATCACGGTCCACGGGTCAGAGTCGTCGGATAAACACCCTATGTTCGCGCCCATGACAGAGTGCGCCGTTGCTCCCACAGCTCTAAGGCACCCGGTCCAGGCCTAACCGAGAGCAGGCTTCACACAAAGAGGACCAGAGACAGACGATGGAGAGGAGGCTGCTCGGACCGGGGCCTGACTCGGAAGCTGACCTCTAGGGTCAATGCCAACTTCTATAAAATGCATCTGTGGACACGTCTCACGGGACCACTTATTCGGCACCGTGATTATAAAAGATTTCCCCTCGACAACTTGGGAAAAATGCTGGAATTTCTCAAACCCTCAGCAATACAAGGAATAAATGACATACACAGACGACAGCCGAGGACTCTGGCTTCGCTCCCCCGGAAGGCGAGGGGCCGCCAGCCCGAGCCCCCGGAGCGTCTGTGCCGTGTCTGGCGTCTCACCTTGTACACGGTGCCGAACGCGCCGGAGCCCAGCACCTTGATCTTTTTGAACTCGGTCTCCTTTAGGATCCTCAGGAGGGCCTGGTTGGGCGCCTCCCCGCTGGGGGTCAGGGGCTCCACGAGCTGTGGGAGACGAGGGTGAGCGACGAGTGACGGGGATGCTGGTCAGCCTCCACGCCCCCCGTGGACCGGGCCTGGTCCTGCCTCAGCACAGAACCTGCCTGCTCGCTCAGGCCACACGGCCACCTGCTCTGAGGGACTTCGTGAAGACACGGGCGTCCCTGACCGGAACCGGTCCAGTTCAACAAATGTAACTTCCAGCTCTGTTTCCAGGCCCTTTAGTTGACTGGGGAAGTGTGGGCGAGGAAGCTTTTTTGGGGGGGGGTCATTTTGGTCGCCTGCTGAACCCCCTGACACCCAAGTGCCAGGATGCCACCAGCTGCCCTGGGGACTCCTCCCAGGGACTCCGGCTTCCGACTCTCTGGGCACAGATGCCGGGCGCGGACCGTCCTGGGGAATGGCAGTGCCAGGAACACACTGTGGGAAGCAGAGCTCGGAGAGGGACAGGCGTGGACAGGGGCACCTTCCGGTTCCGTCTCCCCACCCACGGGGCCTCCCCAGGACTCAGCAGGCACCGCTCAAAGGCTGGCTCCTGCACATTAAACACGTACTGTCCTCTGTTTTTAAAAAATATTTTTAAAAAAATATCACCCGAGGGTATTTTTCCATTGATTTTCAGAGAGGGTGGAAGGGAGGAGGAGAGATACACAGAGAGAAACGTGGATATATTGGTTGCTTCCCACAAGGGCCCCACCGGGGCCAGGGATCAGCCTGCAACTGAGGTGCATGCCCTTGACTGGGATCGAACCTGGGACCCTTCAGTCCACAGGCCGACGCTCCATCCGCTGAGCCAACCCGGCCGGGGCCCAAGGTCCTGTCCTTTAAGCAGCCCCCAGGCAGCTGGCACTGTGCCGTGCACTTACCCCAGAAACACGTGTGCTTCCCTGGGTAGATGCCCCCCGTGTAGCTAATGGTCACTGGGCGTTCACACGCTTCCCGGCTTTGCCATCACAGGGACGGAAGCGCAATGACGCAGTGACATCCTCAAACACAGTCTCAGAGGCCCACGCAGAAGGGCCCTGCCCTCTCCCCTGTGTGTGTGTGTGTGTGTGTGTGTGGGGGGTGTCCCCAGGGGCTGGGGCGGCGCAGGGGGGCGCACTCACCTCCCTCTCCTGCAGCAGCCGGCGCAGCGTGCGCTTGCGGACGATGTGGCGCCGACGCAGACACAGGCCCACCACCAGCGCCACCATCAGCAGCAGGAAGAGGCCGCCCACGATCCCCATGGCGATGGACGAGATCTTGGGCCTGAAGGAGGTGCACACACGGGGGAAGGTCAGGTTGCTTCCAGACGTCATGGCATCTGCATTTCACCTATGTCCTGCCTTTGCTGAAACGCTGACGCCACTGAACACGCTCAGAGAGGCGCTGCAGCCGCTGAGGTGGGGGGGGAGCTGAGGGTCCCCGCAGCATCCTCACTCGTTCCCGCCCCCCACCTGGCTGCGTTGCACTACTCAAATTGAGGTGTTATCTGGATCTCTCCATATAGTGGCTATTATTTTATGTTATTTTTTAGAGAGAGGTAGAAAGGGGAGAGAGAGAGAAAGAGAGAGAGAGAGAGAGAGAGGTAGTGAGAGAGAGAGAAACACCGATTGGCTGCCTCCTGCATGATCCCCACTGGTAATGGAGCCCACAACCTGGGCATGTGTCCTGACCGGGAATTGAACCAGCAACCCAGCCACCTTTGGTGCATAGCACAACGCCCAACCAACTGAGCCACACGGGGGCAGGGCAATGGTTCTATTTCAATCTGTTGATTAAGAAAAGACATTAATTCCAAAAGTAACTCAGACTTCAGTTCTGGTTTCCATGTGAATTTGCATGTCTCTCAGAGTCTCTCTGTGCGTCGGAAGCAGCGCTCTCCCATCCGTCTGCTGGCCTGGCTGGGGAGGGGCCTGTCAGTGATGCTGAGCATCCTCGAAGGGCCCTTGGCTTTCCAGATGGCACCACAGCCTCGGAAGTGCTTCGCGTGAGCTCGGAGGGGCTGTGCAATGAGGGGACCGCACACAGAGACCACCCCCGTCCTAGATCAGGGGTGTCACCTTGCAGCCTCCAACCCCCGGGCGAGGTTGTGCCTGATTCCAGAGAGAGCGAAACTCAAACTCAAACTCTAAAGCTCCCTGGGGAGAGAGCCGTCTGAAGCAGGAAATTCCGAATTTGAATATAAAGTTGTTATTCTTAAGTATCGGTGCCATTTCAGCTTCCTGCAGACTTCTTCGTTCCAGGTAGAAATGTGAACAAACAGCGAAGATTAACCAGCTGCGGCGTTTGGACGCACAATAATGGGACATCGTCCTTACGAATTTCTCGTAAGTGGGTCACACGCACTTCGTGAAAGTGACAGTTACCACATGTTCTGCTTAGAGTACACGAGCCATCCCCCACGTCCGACCGTCTGCCCACCACTGCCGCTGGAGCTCATGGGTTTCCACGGTTTTGGAGGGAACGTGAGAGAGATACAGGAACAAATCGGTTCCTACAGAGGATGTGTCCCACGTCGAGTCGTAACGAGGGCGAGTGAATGGAAAAACTTAAAAGAGTAAACACAACAAAGATCGGTGCCGGACGGGTGCCTGTGGGGCGAGAGGGACCTCAGTGGAGGTGCTGACTGTGGACGAGCAGCAGGAGCTGGCTGTGCCCCGGCCCGGGAAGAGGGAGGGCTGAAGGGACCTTTGTCCCCGCAGCGGCCTCCTGTGTGCCCTGACGTTCCCCGGAGAGTAGGAAGGATCCGTGACCACGGCTGATTCTGGGGGGAAGCGTCCGCGGCACTGAGAGGGGTCCCGTCGACATGACGGGAACCGCAGGGGTTCCCAGCCCGGCTGGGGTGGCTCAGCCGGTTGGGCGTCGACCGGGATGTCACCAGTTTGATCCCCAGTCAGGGCACAGGCCCGGGTTGCAGGCTTGCTCCCCAGTGGGGGGCGTGCAGGAGGCAGCCGATGGATGTTTCTCTCTCCTCGACGTTTCGACAGGTGTCTGTATAAATCTGATTCCTCTCTAGACATTACTCATCGATTACCCCGCTCTTCCCTGCTGAGTCCGAACAGGAAGCCCACTCTGCTGGTCCCAGGGCCGAGTTTCAGCAACGACGGCAAAGTGACCAGAACGGAAATGCTGAGGAGGTGGCGCTGAGAAAGATCAGGGAGAAACCCCAAGCTGGAGCTTTGTCACCGAGCAGAAAGGTCATTCGAGCACAGGTCTGTGGCAGGGCCAGCTGGGACAGGTCGGGGAGGGAGGAAGAGAAGCTAGGAGAAGGGAAGGGTCCAACCACACAGGTGTGACCAAAGAAGTCAGAGGAAGGACAGAGGAAGGAGTGCTGGGCATCGAGCACGCACTTCCTGCCCCCCTCACGGCAGCACCCCACCAGAGCCCAGAGACGGCGGGGAGGGGGGACCAGCAGGTGCTGGCCCAGAGGGAAGAACCTGGCCAGGCAGAGGGGAGCCAGCAATGCAGGGTGCACTGACTGCCCATATTGTGCTGTGTCATTAGACAACGCGGTCATACTTACTCGTTGGTCGTGCAGCCTTCAAGACCTGGCCCTGTGCAGCTGCAGGGAGCAAAAGAGAAATACATTTTGATGGTGCTCTTCCTGAGCATGTTCTCTGGAAGAGCTGTTGTGAAGTCATGAGCAAGCCTCTTTTTATTCCATCACCAGGCAATCCTCTCTCTTCTCTCTTAGGAAGCCGTGGCCCAGAGGGGTTACTAGTGAGTGAGATGCCCAGGGTCGTGATAACTTCAGTGGCAGAGACTGAGGGTCTGGGACTCATAACCTCTGCTCCTCCCCCCGTCCCCCCGACTCAGCACAGCTCCAAGTGGAGAAGGATTAAGTTCCTCTCAAAGCGTTAAAACCGCGATGCGCCTCAATCTGGGGGCGGTGTTAATCATCTATTCTTACGCCTTTATTCACTCGGCAAATATTTTTGAGTGTCTACTCTGCGACAGGGACTGTCCTAGTGCTGAAAGGCAGAGAGTTTCCGGTCTTGTACCGAAGTGTTTCCACGTATTGCTTTGGCGCAGGCACAGCTGTCTCACAGCTGTCTCGAGGGTACAAGAGGGCAGAACAGAACCAGGTCCTGGGTCGTGCTGGTCCAAGGGGGAGCGAGGGGGACGCAGGTGAGCGAGGACACGGGCCTCGGGGGCAGGGGACTGGGTGGCCATGAGGACTGCAGGCCCGAAAGCCGGGAGCAGGAGCTGGCTTCCTCCAGGGCCACGTGACCGAGCGTCACAGGAGGCAGGGACGGCGCTTGCCTTACGGTGACTCTCGGGCCCCGGGCCCCGGGCACCAATGTAAGTGTCAACAGGAAAACAGACTATGCCAACTAAACGGGAAAGACGGGCCCTTTACGGCCTGGCAGAGGGAAGTGCATTCAAGCGTGGGAAGAGGTCTGGGGGCGCTGTGTGACACGCCCGCTGGTGACAGACATTTTCTGTCTCCTCTGAGGGCTCTGTTCTCCGGGGACCTGGCAGGACTATGCGCTCATTCCACCCTCACGTCTCTGTGTGGTCAGGAGCTGCGGTATCTCAGCACAGACTCCTTCAGGATGAGCCCTGGAGACGGAGCGGCCTCCCACCACCACAAGCCCCGCCCATCGTGCCCCACCCACCATGCTCCTCCCACTACCCTCCTCCCACCAAGCCCCACCCATGCTCCTCCCACTGTGCCCCGCCCACCACGCTCCTCCCATTGTGCCCCGCCCACCACGCCCCTCTGCCAAAGCCACTCCCACCGTGCTCCACCCACCACATCCCACCGCTGTGCTCCGCCCACCGCGACTTGCCCATCAGCCTGTTCTGGCTGCTGCCTTGCCCCTGGGGACCACCTGAAGCCCTGACTCCACCCCAAACCTCCGGGAGTGCAGCCTGGAAATTCTGGAGATGTTTCCAATCTGCGAACTTGCAAGATAGGAAAGCTTTTGTTTCCCAGGGCCCGAGGGGCACTCACCCGTAGGGGCAGTTGGGGTGGCACAGGTGGCAGACGTGACTGGCGTCCGCGAACTTCCAGACCAGCGTGTTGTTCTCGCCCATGATCCCGGCTGGGCAGGTCTTGACGCAGTGCGGGCCATCGATGTAGTGGGCGCACTGCACGCAGCTGTCGGGGCCCTGCAGCGGGAGAGAGGGTGTCACCGGCGAGACAGGGCTCTCTCCTTTGCCAAATGGAAGTAGCCTTTTACTGAAATACGTGTCTTGAAAAAAAGCCAAACAGTGTAGAAACTGTCAGCGTGGAAGGCGAGTTTGTCTGCGGTTGTGCTTGAGCCCTGAGCCCTGTTCACAGTGAGCATAAAGCCTGTCTGACCTCGCACACGTGTGCTACATACAAAACACGAGAGACGGTGCTAGTTAGCTTATTACACGTCACTCACACTCTGAGGGCATCTCTCCTTGCCAACACAACCCTGATGGGCCCGCGTGTGCATTTACCCCCGGGCTGGTCGGGCGGACTTGCTCACACGTGGGATTTGTGGTTCAGGGAGGCTCGCGGCAGCCAGACCTGCCCAGCAAATTGCCGGAAACCCACCTCCAGCCAGTCCGTGAGCAGGAGGCGGCGGGCTGAGGGCAGTGCCGCTGCCCAGTTAACTGAGCAACGGGCTACCTCCCGCCCTGGGATGCTGAGTTCTCCCTGATACTCTTCACCACATCACTACGTCGCTAGGAAACTGGATTTTAAGTAGTTTTCTAGGGCATTCTTTAAGAATTCTCCAAAAATGATACACTCCTGTTGCGTAAGAACTTGATGATGTTTGAGTAAAACTAAAGCAATGATGACCGACGTCGGAAGTGGGGGACATGGGCTGACCCCGTACCGGGCCCTGCGGGCTTCCCGCTTTGTGGGGACACGGTTAGGTGTGAGGGTGTGGGCAGGAGCAGGGGCTGCCTGGGCCGGCGGGGGTGTGAGGACTTCAGCTCCGTCGGAGCCCCGCCCCAGCCCAAAGGCGCACGGCCTCTCTCTGGGGCGTGGGCTGGGGCGCTGTCCTCAGCAGCCATGAGGACAGTGGGCCGTGGTGGGGGCGACCGCTGGGAGGCCTTTCCCCGTGTTGTGTGGGGGAACGGCTCGAAGCGAGCTCCTTACGCGTCCCGTGCAGGTCACGTTCATGGGCTGGGGCAGGCACTCCGGGTGGCACTGGATGCACTCGCCGTTCTCCACAAACTCCCTGGGCTCACTGCGGGGGGTGGGGGGGAAGGACAGTGGTCAGCGCCTCCCTGGGGACCCGCAGCAGGACACCGGCGGCTGCAGCTGTGAGCCGGTCTGTCTGAAAAGCCCGGTGACACGAACCACCTCTCTCAGCAATGCACAGCGGTTCCAGGTAAAAGCCAAACGGCCAGGGTCCCGGGCGACCCTGTCATATAATAACCAGACTCTGACCGAACCCTCTGCCGTCTTCCACCAAAGCCAGCCATAACCCTCACCCAGCACCCACACCTCTCCCGGGTTCTCCTAGCGACGCTGTGTGCACGTTTCAGCGAGTGAGAGAGAAAGAGCCCCCTGCGGACTCCCTATGTGAGGGGAGCAGGAGAGGATCGCTGCAGAGACCACAGGGGACGGAGGGAGAGCCCTTCCCCCTGCCATGGTCAGGCCCAAACAGTAAGAACGGAGCCGGGAGGCGGGGGGGAGAGGGGGGAGAGTGAGGACTTTGCTGGTAATATCGTCACCACTCCTCCAAGATGCGCCATCAACGCGGAGCAAGAGGCCTTGTCCCGATCGAGAACCCGGGGGGGGGGGGGGGCGTGGAGAAGACTGACATCTGCCTGGTGACGCCCGACCAGCCCTCACTGGGTGGTGAGCAGGAGCGGTTACACCCGAAAAACGTGTCCCGAGAGTCCCCCTTTCAGGCGCTTGGCATCGGTTAAACCAGATGCCACCTTCGCTGGTCTCTGTGCTTCTGCCCGGGGCTGCCACGCCTATGGAGGGGGCCCGTCTTGCAAAGGGACCCCTGCAGCTGGGCCCCAGGTACTGTGGAGGAAAGACCTGGCACCTCGACATGCTTGCTTTCATTACTTTGCCTTAAAAAACTTTTATTTTAGCCCTGGCTGGCGTGGGTCAGTGGTTAGAGCGTCAGCCTATATACCAGACGGTCACAGGTTCGATTCCTGGTCAAAGGCCTGTGCCTGGGTTGTGGGTCCGATCCCCTCTGATGCCCGGCCCAGTTGGGTACATGTGGGAGGCAACAAATCCAGGTGCCTGGCACGTGGATGTTTTTCTCTCTCTCTTTCCCCCCCTCTCTCCCTCCACTCTAAAAATCAATGGAAAAAATACCCTCACTCCTCAAGTGAGGATTAAAAGTTTTTATTTTATTTTATATTTTTATTGATCTTTAGAGGGAGAGGAAGGGAGAGGGAGAGAGAAAGAGAGAAACATGGATGTGAGAGCAAAACATGAATCGGCTGCCTCCTGCATGCCCTGACTGGGAACTGAACCAGTGACCTTTCTGTGTAAGGGACGGTGCCCGACCCACTGAGCCACACCTGTGAGGGACGGTGCCCGACCCACTGAGCCACACCAGCCAGGGCAATGACCTTGTCTTTTTAAAGAGAAGTGAAAACTGAAAACAGAGGGTCTACCTGTGGCATGAAGGAGAACACCAATAGTTCCTACTCTTTCGCATGCAGATCACTCCGCTAGGGGAGGGCCTGTCAGCTAATGGCTCCTACAGAAATGAACTTGACCTTGTCAACCTGCTCCGGAATATTTCTGGATCCACGCTGCGGCCCTGACAGTGAAATAAGAAGGAAGACTTCCTACAGCCATCCAATTCCAGCAGCTCTTCCCTCTCACAAAATTTCCCTTTTTCTTTAAATTTTTAAAAAACTGTCCCTGCCGCCCGACCAGCGTGGCTCAGGAGTGAGTGTTGACCTATGAGCTAGGAGGTCATGGTTTGATTCCCGGTCAGGGCACATGCCCGGGTTGTGGGCTCGATCCCCAGTAGGGGGTGTGCAGGAGGCAGCTGATCCATGATTCTCTCTCCTCATTGATGTTTCTCTCTCTCTCTCTCCCTTTCCCTTCCTCTCTGAAATGGGTAAGATATATATATTTAGAAAACTGCCCCTGCTGAGCTCTATTCTTCAATTTTACTTTCTCATTCAAAGATTGGCATCAATGTCAAGATTCCCACAGCATCGACAGGCTGTAATTGGTATTGATGGTAAGTAAACTCAGCAACCGTTAAATGGCTGTCTACTTCTTTGTCCATGGTCCTATTTAAAGCTATTTGCCCTGCTCACTGTTTCCTGAACAGAACACAGAAATTAACCAGGGGATGGCATTTGCGTTAACATAGTCTGACACGCCAGGAACGGTGCACCGAGGGACAGACCGCATGGCCATGGTCTTGGGCAGATGAACTGCTATGAGCGATCTATCTTGGGAACTTTGTGCAGCTTAGAAAAATAGAAGGTATGTCCAGAAAAAGAGACTCGATGAATTATTAGGTTGGATTAAGCCAGGAAAATAGTTTGTCCATTTCTGTGTGTGATGAACAGTTGCTAATAAACAAACAACAAAACAAAGGAAAAGAAACAACCGAGAGACAGGTGCACGGGGAACGGCGCTGGCCCCGTCCAGCCGCCCTCCCACGGTCGCAGCGCTCACCCCTCCAGCAGGTTGCACCGCTCCATGCACTCCCGCTCGCGGCTGACGTTCTGGCAGGCCACGCAGTCCCCGGGCGCAGGGCCCCAGCAGCCCTCCAGCGGCGAGCACAGCCGGTTGCAGACTTGGCCTTGGGCCTCTGGGGAGACAGTGGGCACCGCAGTCAGGGGAAGAGTGACCGAGGGACGACTGGGACAGCGCCCCCAGTGAGGTGCCGGGGTCTTCCGCTGACGGACACGCCGGGGCCCTGAAAGAAGCCAGGACCCAGAACAGCCCCCCAGAGGCCGACTGCGAGGTGCCTTTTCCCTTCGGGGTACCCAGGGCGCCACACTGGGCCTGGTGGGGTTTGCGGATTAGGGTGACGGCGGGAAGGTGTGCTGTGCTCGCTTCCTTGGGCTAGGGAGGCACCGCGCCCAGGGTCTACACTCGGGATTGCACTTCATTCTCTCCGGAGCAGGACGCTGTGGCAATCGCTACCGCCCCCATGGCGTGGATGAGGACGCCAGAGCCCAGAGATGGGGAGGAAGTGGATGAAGGCCTCGAAGCCTGGAAGGACCGGGGCCAGGATGTGGAGGCAGGTCTGCTTCCAGGGGCCGGCTCTCGGCACAGGGGCCGCCAGCTGCCTGGCTTCACAGGCTGGCGATGGCTCTGACGCAGGTAGGAGACGCCACGGTGAAAGGTTCCTTCCACGGCGTGCACACGGGCGCATGCGTTTGTGTGCATGTGTGTGCATGTGTGTGCATTAGCTAGAGCCATCGGAGACTGAAATGAGCAGGGGGACCGATAGCTAAAATGTAATCTAATCGACACCAAGCTTACTCTTGTGCATTGCAAACAACTGACAGCCCGAATCTCAAGGCCAACGTCTCCTGCGAAAGGAGGATGCACCAGAGCGATCCTGCTGAGCGCCAGGTGGCAGCGCCGCCATCGGGAGCACACGGAGCCGCTCTCTGGCTGCGTCAGGGGGAGGGGAGGCGTTCGCGTGCTCGGGGGTGGCCCTGGGGACGTTCTACGTGAACACGCGGGGAGCAGCGGGCCCGCCCTCCGGCCGCGCGCCACTCACTGCAGTCCCTGCCATCCTTGTTGCTTTGGATCTTGGCTTTCTGACTCGTGGTCCCGAAGAGCTTTCTCCAGTTGATGGTGTCTGCGTAGCACAGGTTGCGGTTCCCCGAGATGATCACGTCTCCGTCACTGATCTCCTTGAGGGAGCGCAGCCCCAGGGACGTGATGTCCGTCAGCCCGACGACGGCGAGAGAGAAGCGGCCGCTGCGTCGGAGAGAAGGAAACCAGCCCCGTGAGACGCACAAAAACACGGTGTCGCTGAGCGACGTATTTGGGTTTCCTGGGCCCTTTTAGATTCACGCCCCCCCTCCCCCCCCCGCCCCCATGACCATCGGTCCCACTGCGCAAGGTACATATTGCAACTTGAAATCTGCACGTGGCCCGGCCGGCGTGGCTCAGTGGTTGAGCGTCAGCCTGTGAGCCAGGAGGTCACGGTTTGATTCCTGGCCAAGGAAGGGCACATGCCGGGGTTGTGGGCTCCATCCCCAGGAGGGGGCGTGCAGGAGGCAGCCGATCCGTGATTCTCTCTCATCATGGATGTTCCTCTCTCTCTCTCCCTCTCCCTCCTCCCTGACATCAATGAAAAACATATTAATAAAATAAAATCTGCAAGTGTTTCCTTGTGAGTCCCTCCAGGGAAAAGCCAGTTTCCTGGCCGCTGAGTCTCTTCAATCCCAGGGGCGAGCCAGGGGCTGAAGGAAGGTCTCAATGCCATTATTTACTTGCTGCCTGTTTACTCTGCCTGGGCATTGAGGTGTTTTAGCCTCTCAAACATCCAAATAGACTTCAAAAGCCACAGGTTCATTTCCCATCCATCTGCCCAGCCATGCAGCCGCTGAACAAACACGTGAGGTGACATGGGACTAATTCTATGTAGGCCGTGTGTACATTTCCTGCTCTCAGGACGGCGCCCCTTTTTTCTAGCGGGGATACAATCATAGGAGATGGTGTTTCCCCAGCACCTGAGTCTGGTGGTGGTGGGGGCGAAGGGCAGGGGCACTGGGCACGCCTGGGGAAGGCTGCGCAGGAGGGGGCCTCCCGGAAGAGGTGATGCCCGGCTGGGCGGACCTGGGAGCAGGTGCACCCAGCACTGTGCCGGTCCATCAGGGCGATGAAGAGCCCTCAGGGGGCCGGTGAAGGGACTCAGGTGGGAGGGCGGGAAGCCCAGGGCCAGCTGGAGAAGCAGGAAGGCAAGAAGGCGCGTGGCAGGTGCAGAGAGCCACAGGCCGCTACAGGGGCAGAAAGGTGGAGGCAGGGAGGCCGGAGAGGGGCCTGGGGAGGGGGCGGGGCTAGAGCACAGAAGACCTGACACCACAGAGCAGCTCGGGGTGTCTGTGATGATGGGGAACCACAGGAAGGAGGTCTGCACCCCGTCCCCACGGCCCGCGAGCGTCCTGAATTGCAACCCTTTCTCTGGTCTCCCATCAGCGGTGAACAAGCCGGGCTCCTCCCGTGGGGGGGGGGGGGGGTTCTCCATTGTTATTGCTTCCACTGACCGTTGACATTCAGTGTTGCTTTGTCAGGTGTCCAGCACGTGGTTAGATAATCGCATACTTGCAGCACCCGCCTGGCACCACCCACCGTTCCTACACCACCGACTCTATTCCCTGTGCCGCACGTTACATCCTGCGATCTCTCCCATCACGAGGACATGTCAGCCCTTCACAAAGCCTGCGCGGTCCTTCTCCAGCGTGCCCAGGCCGTGACCGATAAGGAAAGACGGGGACTGGACACACCTGCAGGGACTAAGGAGACATAGCAACCAAATGCAAGGTGGGCCCTGGCTGGCGTGCCCAGTGGTTAGAGCACAGGCCCATGCACCGAAGGGTCGTGGGTTCGATTCCCAGTCAAGGGCGCGTGCCGAGGTTGTAGGTTCCATCCCTGGCCTGGGTGGGGACACATGTGAGAGGTAACCAATTGATGTGTCTCTCTCACATTAATGTCTCTCTCTCTCTCTCTCTCCCTCTCTCTCTCTCCCCCCTCCCTCCTTTCTGCTCTCTTAAAAAAAAAATCAATGGAAAAGTCTGACTGGGTGAGGATTAACAACAAAAAAGGCAGGATGAAGACTGGATCAGGCTCGGAAACAGAAGGCGTTCACGGAGCAGCCGGCGAGCCCCGAATAAGGTGTCGCTTTGTTAACGAGGACCATGCTGACTTCACTCGGACACCAGCACCGCCCGCGAGATGCCAGCCCAGGAGAGACTGGGTGGGGGGCAGCAAGGCCCTACAGCATCGCGGCCATACTCTGCGCGTCTTATTTCAAAACACACCCGGCGGCTGCCGGGCCGACACTTACTGCTGCTTGGTCCGGCCCCGGATGATCTCCAGGTTCCGGAAGGCGTGCAGGTCCGTCCTGTTCTCTGGCCAGGCCTGGATCAGCAGGAACCCTGCGGGCGGGAGGCAGGGCGCTCAGAAACCGCCTTCCCGGCCGAGGGCGAGGACAGGGTTCCCGGAGCCCGCGGCACGAGCAGGACACGGGGCGCGGGATCCGCTTCCCCTCCCGTCCTCCCGGAGCTGCACACACGGGTGCCGGTGCCGGCCTCGGCCGCCTGCCTCCCCCCCGGCCCTGCCCCCACCCCGCCCAGCCCGCCCACCCGTGCTGTCCCGAGGGCGCAGCCCCACCTGTGATCTCCTTCACGGTTTTCAGGTTGTCCAGCTCCCTCGGGTCCAGGGGCGGCGTGTGGGTGAAGGAGTCCCTGGAAGGAAGAGGATGAAGGTCACCCCTCACCGCTCCCTGCCTGTGGCGGGGGCAGGGCTGCGGCCAGCGGCCCCCCCGGACTCACCCCTCAGAGGCAGCCCCTGCCCCCGACTCACCCCTAGAAGGCGGCCCCCGCCCCCCGACTCACCCCTTGAAGGCCACGGGCAGGATGTGCAGGTCCCCGCTGATGGTGGTGCAGTTGCGGAAGTGCCTGATGTTGGTGGCGTTGATGGACAGGGTGTCTCTAAACTCCCCGATCCCGATCCCGTTGCACACTGTGGGGAGAGGGACACGCAATCCCGTCCATGCCTGGGGACCTGAGCAGGCGGGGGGCCCAGGGGGAGGGGCGGGGCGGGAGCGAAGCCGTGAGACTGTCGCTGCCCAACCAGCGCCGACCTGTGTGGGGCTCCCATTGGTACCCTAACCACACCTCCGCCTTCCTACCACCCTGAGCTGGCTGTGGCCTTGTCTTCCATCTTAGAGAAAACACACACACGGTTTTTTAAATCAAAAAGCAAGATGCAGTCCAGCCAGTGTGGCTCAGTGGTTGAGCATTGACCTATGAAACCAAGAGGTCACGGTTCAATTTATAGTCAGGGCACATGCCCGGGTTGTGGGCTCCATCCCCAGTGTGGGGCGTGTAGGAGGCAGCTAATTAATGATTCTCTGTCCTCATTGATGTTTCTATCTCTCTCTCCCCCTCTCTCTTCCTCTCTGAAATCAATTAAAAAAATAATAAAAAAAAAGATCAGTGAGTTTGTGCGCGGGGCCCATGGATGCCTCCTGTACAATGATCGCACTTTCGGGGTGTGTGTGTGAAAATTTACAGAATAAAAGATAAAGTAGGGGGTCAGCAGGGATAGGTTGGCCTGGAGGGTACTCCAGGGACAGGGCACTGAATAAAGGAAGGAAGGGATTGCTGAGCCGGAGAGAGAGTCACCGGAACCTCTCCCAGTGCCGCCGAGGAGACTGGCGGGGCCGGGGCACCCAGCCCAGGGCCGGGGAAGCCGTGTCCCCACGCCGTGCCCACGCGGGCTCCTACCTTTGCGACAGGGCCCTTCGCACTTCTTGCACTTGCGGACGCCGTCTTCCTCCACCTCATGGCTGTCGGGGCTGCAGGCCCGCACGCAGGAGCCGTGGTCGGTCACCACGTAGTTCCCTGGGGGGGGGGGGGGGGGGGGGAGGCAGGTGTGAACGCGGTGCCAGGTGTCTCTGGGGTCGTGTCCTCCTGAATCCCGGCCGATGACAGGGCCCGTCATCCTCTCATTTTGTTTATTTTAAGGACAAAGAAGGGAAGGCTGCAGACTGAAAAGGAATCGCACTCAAGAGCTTTCATCGCGTCCCAGGCCCTGATGGCAAACAGATCCTCCTCCCAGGCGGAGCGGATGTGCGGGAGCCGCTCCCCCCAGGCTTAGAGCTCTCTTCCCCGCTCTCTTTTTTTTTTTTTAAGGTTTTACCTCCAGGACTTATGATCAAAGCTTGAATCTTTATTAAAAATATGTGAGCCCAGCTGGTGTGGCTCAGAGGTTGAGCGTGGACCTATGAATCAGGAGGTCAGGGTTCAATTCCCGGTCAGGGCACAGGCCCGGGTTGTGGGCTCGATCCCCAGTGTGGGGCGTGCAGGAGGCAGCCGATCCATGATTCTTTCTCATCACTGATGTTTCTCTCTCTCTATCCTTCTCCCTTCCTCTCTGAAATCAATAAAAATATATTTAAAAAAATACGCGAGCCTGAACGATGACTCCGCTCCCCTCAACGCGGCCCCGAGGCTTGGTTTACTCTGGGGTTGTGGCCTGCCTCACGGCCTGTGCCTGGCGGGGCCTCGGGCAGCTGGTCCGGCACCTGCGCCGTCTCCTGCCCCTCGCCTCACGGTGCACATGGGGTTCGTGTCCACACGGACGTCATTCTCTCCAGGGGCCTCTGCCTGCTTGGGCCCCAAGCCGACCTCACACACCTCCCGTGCTGCTCCTTCTCCTGGGACGCGCCTGCTGCGTCCGGGCTCTGTGCTTCCTCTGGGTTGTCACCCCCTCGCCGGCCCTCTCTCAGGACCACGTCTGCCACATCGGGACGAGACTTCCTCATCCCGTCACTCCTGCCCGTGGCCATCCCTCCATCCCTGTCATTTTCTTCTGCCCAGAAGGTGAACATTCTCATCCCCGCAACCCGCAGAGCTCTCCCTCTGCCGCTGCTGGTAGACGCTTCTCCTCGCTCCCTCTCCCCTGGGAAGTCAAGGCCGGCCCTAAGCGCGTTAACTAGACAACCCTGTGCTTCCGCTATGCGGCCGGGGCTGCTGTCACCACTTCCTCGAGCTGCGGCCACCAGTCGCGGCATATGCAAATGAGCAAAACCCAGCGATGGCAACAAAACAGCAGGCGACAGTCCCCCCAAGGGCCCAGGCCCCCTCTATCCACTGAGCAAGGGCAGCTCCGACACCCCCTGCTGGGGCCTATCACACACCTCCCTCCTGGGTGCAGGAGCCCAACGGCGAGACGGCCCAGTGGCCGCGGGGTTAGGCCCACCAGACAGTTCACTACCCTGGACCTCAGTTCCAGGGGCTGCCCAACACCTGCGGCATGACCTACCCTGTCACCTGCGGCATGACCTACCCTCACCTGCGGCATGACCTACCCCGTCACCTGCGGCATGACCTACCCTCACCTGCGGCAGCGACCTACCCCGTCACCTGCATTCGGATGGGCCCTGGCCACATGCCTGACAATGAGGCACACGCCGACCAGACGCTGCCTGAACTGGGGACTCGGGGTTCCCGTAGGAGGCGCAGGGAAATGGATGCTGGAGCCTGAAAGGGCGTGGCGGGCGAGGACTCACGGGGACACTTCTTTACACAGGTGGCGCCGAAGCTGTATTTGCCGTCGGGGTTGACGTCCATCTGGTAGGTGGTGGGGTTGTACAGCATGAGCGGCGGGCAGGTGTCCTTGCAGGTGGCGCCGTCCCGGAACCGGCGGCAGACCTGCGAGAGGCATGGACACGGGACATCGGAGGAGCCGCCTCGCTGTCCCGGACCTCGGACCGGGTCATGTTAAATGGGCGACCACCTTGGGCCTAAAGGACACTGCTTCCCAGAGCGCTGTGAGCGGACAGCGAGGGAGCAGAGGCGGACAGTGAGGAACAGTGTTAGCGTCCGTGTCACTATGGCAGCTTTTCTGCCAATAGCAAGCCCTCCTGCTCTGGATGCATAAAACCCACGGCTTGGTCCCCTCCTGGGACACTGGGCTTCTGCCTGAATCAGCGCTTCCCAAATCTCGTTCTCTCTCTCTCTCTCCCTTTCTCTCTCTCTCTCTCTCCCTCTCACTTTGAAGCCTTTCATTTTTGCCGGCCGGCGCAGGTGAGCGGAGCGGGCCGTTGGGTTCTGTCCGGAGGCCTGGGTTGGGTTCTGTCCGGAGGCCTGGGTTACGCTCCGGTGCTCGCGTAGAGCGGACGACCCAGCGCCGTGCGCGGCACAGCCGGAGAGACCGTCCTCTCAGGAGCGTGGCTTTTCTGAAACACGTGTCCCGACTGCGAGCCTTATGATCGCGGGGAGAGGAAATGCCCGTCTCCATTAGTGGGCAGAACGACACAGAGCTCGCACGCTGGGCGGGAACCTCGAGGGTGTTCTGCTCACGCTCCATTCACGCCGGCTGCCTTTACACAGGACACTGCGGGTGCGGCTCAGGGTACTGCCCGCCCAGGGGCCCTCGCCTGGCAGCGTGCCGCCTGCAAGGACCAGGCCAAACGGGGCGCTGCCTCGCAGCTCCCCCGCTCCCACCATCGCTGCCTGCAGGGCTCACACCAGCCTGGGGCTCAGGATTCCAAGGTGCTCACCCTCGGGGGCAGCTGCATGGGCCCCATCACCCCCCCGGGCAACACGGATTTCGTTAGGGCTTCCTGCAGTCCCGGGACAGACGGGAGCACCCCAAGACCCCCTGCGTGGGGTGCCGGCAACCTCTGAGCCGTGGTGGGAAGGGCAGAGCCCTCGGGGCCCTGGGCCCCCTCTAGGTCTCTGCGGCTCATTCCCCTTAACGATAAACCACACGTATTTAGTCCTCAGTGCTCGTTCTATGCCTGGGGCCTCGTACGAACGCCTCATGCTCTATGTCCCGTGGACCATTTAACAGAGCGGCACTCTACCCACCACCGTCGGCCAAGGAGACCGGAGCACAGAGGTCACAGCCGCTGCCCAAGGTCACAGAGGGAGGGGGGAGGCAGGACGATGACAGAGGCTCTGGTCCCAGGAAAGGGCGCCGTCCTCGCCCGCTACCACAGACGGTAATCCACACACCGCAGCCACGGAAAGCCGCCCACGGGGTCTGGGTGGGGGGCAGTGCCCGGGAGGCTGGGGGCTGCGGGCCTTACCAGGCAGTCGCTCTCGCGGGGCCCCGTGCAGCCGGCGGCACACTGGTTGTGGCAGCAGTCACTCGGGGACTTGCCCCGGCAGCGGCCGGAGCACTGCTGGGCGCAGATGGTCTTGGTCACTGAAAAGGAGCACAGGTCACGGTGAGCCGGGAGTGGGGGGGGGGCGCCCCCAGGGACACCCTGGAGCAATCGCACACGGGGGAGGACGGGGTGGGGTGTGGGAAGTGATCGGGGAGGGACCTCGTTCAAGCTTCCGGACACCCCCGTTCTGCCAGACTAAACCCAGTCGTGACCGTGCTGACGGCGCCTCAGTCTCCCTTATTTTTTGTTGTTGCTGCTACTCTTCACGCAAGGATAGTTTTCCATGGATTTTTAGAGAGAGTGGGAGAGACAGAGAGAGAAACATCGATGTGAGAGAGAGACATCGATCGGTTGCCTCCTGCACGCCCCTGACCACGGCTGGGGGGTGAGCCTGCAACTGAGGTACGACGTGCCCTTGACTGGAATCGAACCCAGCACCCTTCAGTGCATGGACTGACGCTCTATCTACTGAGCCACACCAGCCAGGGCTTCCTGCTTGCTTTTAATCACCGGGGAGAACTGACCAGGTGAAGTCTAGACCTGTAGAGCCGCTAAGCCAGTGGTTCTCAACCTTCTGGCCCTTTAAATACAGTTCCTCATGTTGTGACCCAACCATAAAATTATTGTTGTTGCTACTTCATAACTGTAATGTTGCTACTGTTATGAATCGTCAGGTAAATATCTGATATGCAGGATGGTCTTAGGCGACCCCTGTGAAAGGGTCGTTCGACCGCCAAAGGGGTCGCGACCCACAGGTTGAGAACCGCTGCGCTAAGCCATTAGCTACTCGTTGGAACCGAGCTTCCGGTGGCACCAACGCACATGCAAGTGACTGAAAAGACAGCCAGGGAGCCGTGTGGAAGGATGTAAGAGTCACGTCACGGTCAGACGGTCTGTGAAGGACGGACGGCCAGGAGGTAGGTGACAGGTCCCCAGACCCCTGGCCATCGGTGCTCCTACACTCGGAGCCCACAGAAAACCCCCCTGAGAAAGTCGCTCGGACTTCTCGGTGGGTCCCAGAGCCGGGGGTGTGTGTGTGGGGGGAGAGGGCAGGCCGACCAGCCTCCTGTTCCCAGGAAGCGCCGCCGGGCACTGCTCCCAGGGGATGACTGGTGCCGGCGGCTGACTTTCGCTCATTTATGGCCGCCTGGCCCACGTGCCCACAACAGCCGGCACCGGATTCCCCGCGGGAGGCTGGCAGGATTGGTGTTCACTGGGCTGCTCAAGTCTGGCCTTACGACCAAGAGTGACTTTTAGGTCTGGCCGGTATGGCTCAGTGGTTGAATGGGAGGTCACAGTTCAATTCCTGGTCAGGGCACATGCCTGGGTTGTGGGCTCGATCCCCAGGGTGGGGCGTGCAGGAGGCAGCTGATCAGTGATTCTCTTTCATCACTGATATTTCTCTCTCTCTCTCCCTCGCCCTTCCTCTCTGAAATCAATAAAAACATACTTAAAAAATGGCAGAGGCATTCTTGAAAAACAAAAACAAACAAAAATACTGGCTTTGGGGTCTTCACACAAGTCTGGGGGGCGGAGGCAGCCGCACAGTTGCCGACCGCCCCTCCCCGCCCCAACCTCCCCATCCGCTCGCTCGGGGACTCACGTTGTTGGCAGTTCTCCTTGCCCGCAGCCCAGCAGCTTCCGCTGGGGCAGCTCGGGTCGCACTTCTGGCCTAGACAGAAACGGGAGAGTTAAACGCCATCTCAGCGAAGGGGCGGTGAGAAGAGAGGGATGGCGCCTTCCCGGGCCCGGAGCAAAGCAGCGGCCTAGACTCGAGGAGTAGCCGCCATGTTCCTGATGCTCTGCCAGCTGGTCTGGCTGGTCTGTGAGCAGGTGACTTATAAAGTAAGACGGCTGCACCTCGCACGCCTCCATGTACACCCCAGCCTTGACTCCGGGCCCCGTTTCACGCGGGCTCAGGCAGGAGCAGCCCCAGCTTCCCCGCTCTGTTAGGGTCATCTACCTGAGGGCGGGGGGGCGGAAGCTGGGGGGTGGGGGGTGCTGGCTGCAGCCTCCCCCTGCCCCTCCTGAGTGACGGATGGTCAGCCCCGGGGAGGCGGGTTTGTAGTAAAAGCTCCCGGACTCTTAGCCAGAGAGGGGGGCACAGAGTCCTCTCCGCAGGCGAGATGTCCACCGTGTGTATCGCTCTGTTCATCATCTACAGCCTCAGCTGTTCCCTCGCCAGCTACAGTCTGGAAACTTCCCAGCTGATCAGTCAGTGCTCACAGCTTTCACAGGCGACGGCCAAGCACCCCCAGTGAGAGGGGCCTGCTCTCGTCAGTGGCACCGTGTTTGGGTCAGCACCCAGGGATCCGAGGACCCCGTGTTCTCGCTGCGGCGAGAGCAGGCTGCCCACCGGCTCTGGTCATAGGACATTGGCCCTGCCGCCGTCTGTCCCTGCAGATCACCACCCGAGGGCTCAGGTGCCCCGTCCCCCCAGCCAGCAGCAGCTTTGTCTCTGGAAGAACTCAGATCTCAGATGAGCTGGTCACCACTCGACCTCGACCCAGGACACCCGCTCCTGTGACTGACAGTTCTCACAGCCGCCCCCGGGGGCGGAGGGCATGAGTGCAATGCACCTGCTGCTTAGCGTCAGGGAGGACGGCCAGGCAGCACCCTGAACGCACAGGGCTGCACCCTGTGAGGGGAGAGAGAGGGACCCAGACAGACAGACAGAGGCAGAGAGATCCAGACAGACAGACGGAGGCAGGAGATCCAGACAGACAGACTGAGGCAGGAGATCCAGAAAGACAGACAGAGGCAGAGAGACCCAGACAGACAGACGGAGGCAGAGAGATCCAGACAGACAGACGGAGGCAGAGAGACCCAGACAGACAGACAGAGGCAGAGAGACCGAGAGAGAAGGAACCAGAGAGAAGAAAGAGCCAAAGTAACACACACATGCCAAGGGTGATCGTCGGTATCGAACTTTCATGCTATTTTTACTTTTATCTCTACCTTATTTTTCAAATTTCTATTATAAGCACGCAGCAGGTTTATAAAAGAAAAATACTTAAGTTGAAAATGCTTAAAGGCTTCTTTCTTTCTCCCCTTCCTCCCTCCCTCCCCCTCTCCCTTCCTTCCTGTTAACCCTCACCCGAGGATATTTTCCCATTGATTTTTAGGGAGAGTGGAAGAGAGAGAGAAAGACAGAGAAAAACATCGATGTGAGAGAGACACATCGATTGGTTGCCTCCTGTATGCGCCCTGGCCAGGACCTGGGCTGGGGAGGAGCCTGCAACGGAGGTACATGCCTTTGGCCGGAATCGAACCCGGGACCCTTCGGTCCGCAGGCTGGCGCTCTATCCACTGAGCCACACCGGCCAGGGCTGAAGGCATCTTCCTGTGACAGAGGAGACAGTGCCGACCGACCGGGGAGCTCACAGCCTGCCTCAGTGCTAGTCTGCCCCCAGCAGCCTCCCGGACGCGGGTCCTTTGCGTCCTGCGCTTTAAGGTGAAGGGACCTGCGCCTTAGCCGGCCTCCCCACCACCATCCTGGCCCCGCGGCCCTGCCCGGCCCAGAGCAGAGGCCGATGCGCCCGCACACTCACAGCTGCTGGGCGGGTGCCTCGGAAAGTCCAGCGACATGTTGCTCACGAAGCTGCTGTCCACGATGTCGTGCCACTGGATGGTCTCCATGTTGCAGAGGGTGGGGTTGTTGTTGAAGCGCACGGCGCCCTGCAGGATTTCTGCGGGAGAGAGGACGGTGAGCCCCGCGCCGCCCCGTCTGAGCCCTCACGCAGTGTGCACGCGTTTCTTTCTTTTTATTTTGTTAACCCTCACTCGAGGATATTTTCCCATTGATTTTTAGAGAGAGTGGAAGGGAGAGGGAAAGACAGAAACATGGATGTGAGAGAAACATGTCGATTGGTTGCCTCCTGCACATGCCCCGATCAGGGCCCGGGCCGGGGAGGAGCCTGCAACCAAGGTACATGCCCTTGACCGAATCGAACCCGGGACCATTTGGTCCGCAGGCCGATGCTCTTCCACGCTGCATCCTGCTGGACGGACGCCAGCAAGCCAAGGAGACTCCCTGTGGAATTCCAGGGCAGCAGGTGGAGAATGAGTTGAGGCCCTGTCCGTGTGGCTCAGTGGTTAGATCTGTCATTCAGTAACTGCTACGTTTCATGTCCCTGCCACAGAGTGAGGGCACAACCACAGTTATCTTCAGTTTTTAAAAAAACAGCTTCCCATCTCTCCTATCACCTTCCAGCTTCCTGTCAGAGGACCCTCACGCGTGACCCAGACACAGAAATTCAGTCCTCCCCTGTCACACCTTCCTTCCTCGGCCTGACTCAGACAACGTGACCCAGGAAACTGTCTCAAATATGCGTTGATTTTGTTGTTGTTAATCCTCTTCCGAGGACATTTTTTTTCATTGATTTTTAGAGAGAGTGGAAGGGAGCGAGGGAGGGGAGAGAAAAAGAGAGAGAGAAACATTGATGTGAGAGAGACACAGTGATTGGTTGCCTCCTGCACACATCCCGACTGGGGTGGGGATTAAACCCACAATCCAGGTACGTTCCCTTGACCGGGAATCACACCTGTGACCTCTTGGTGTGCGGGTCCACGCTCTGACCACTGTGCACACCAGCCAGGCACTAGGGGTTGATTTTTAATGCATGTCCCTTACACCCGAGGCCAAGGTCACAGGACTGGCAGCTTATTCGCTCCCTAGGCACAGAAAGTCTGCTACACTCCCTTCTCCCAGAGCCTTCACCATTTCTACTCTCTGGATGCTTTTCCATGAACACGGGATAACCTGGCTACATCTCCCCTTCCCATTGCACCGTGTACCACCTTTTCAGTAACCTCCACCGGCTGTATCTCACACATGAGTGGCATGGGATACAAGAGAAAAGCAGTTAGTTGCCTACAAGGGAGTGCCCATTTGACTGTCAGCTGATTTCTCAACAGAAACTATGCAGGCCAGAAGGGAGTGGCAAGAAATACTCAAAGTGATGAATAGCAAGAACCTACAACCAAGATTACTCTACCCAGCAAAGCTATCATTTAGAATGGAAGGTCAGATAAAGAACTTCCCAGACAAGAAAAAGCTAAAGGAGCTCATCACCACCAAACCACTATTCCATGAAATGTTGAAGCGTATTCTTTCATAAGAGGAGGAAGAAGAAAAAAATAAATATTTGAACAACAAAATGGCAATAAATACTTATCTATCAACAATTGAATCTAAAAATCAAAATAAGGGATCAAGAAATCTAATAAAGTAAACTGATGAATAAAATAGAATCAGAGGCATGGAAGCATGGAACAGACTGACGCATCTCAGAGGGAAAGGGGGAAGCATGTGTGAAGAGATTAACCAAAGAAATTATATGCATATATGCGTTAGCTATGGACACAGACAACAGGGTGGCAAAAGTCTGGAGTGGGGCGGGAACCAGTGGAGAGAGGCAATGGCTGGGGGTAGGGGGAAGGAGACATCAACCCACATTTGTTGTGATGAATAAAGTCTTCCCTGAGTGAAATGAAGAAGGGCCAGGTGGGCTGTGTGAAGAAGGGCCAGGTGGGCCGTGTCCCATTTCTGTGCTAGGGCCCCCGGGCCGGCCGCTCAGTCTTGTTGGCGCCGTAGTTGGACAGGACGGACAAGGCGTGGGTGTTCTCGAAGAGCATGTTCCCCCGGATGATCTGCAGGTTCTCCAGGGGGATCTTCTCCACCACGTTGAGGGCAATGAGGACGTAGCCGGCCACCTCCTGGATGGTCTGAGGAGACAAAGCGTGAAGCTGGCCTATCTCCTTCAAGGAGCTCAAGAGCGTGAGGTCTAACACGGGCCCAGGGAACCAGGACGCCCCTCTGAACGACGCACAAGCGTGGTGACGGCCGTAGAGCATGTGGGTGACTGCACGGAGGGCGTGGCAGGCTATGGGGGCACAGTCATTCCCACTTCGTGCCCCCTGAGCCCGCTGGCGGCAGGAAAGGGCAACGTGATGACTCAGCAAAACCGTGACTCGCTTCCCTTGGCCTTCAACACACTCAGGTGAAGATGGGAACGGCTTTATTAATTTATCTTGCGTCTGTCCTGCCTGCTTGCTCATGAAAAAAAGAAAACAGCAACCCGGAAGGAGGCCAATCACACCCAGAGTTCAACTGCTGGCTCCTGCTGGCTCTCTGGAGCTGACTGAGAAACATGGGGACACTTGTGAAATGCGGTTAAACTCTTGGCGGCTGGAAAGCAACCGTGGCGGGAGTGTTTACACCAAGGCAATGGGCAGATGCTACAAAGCGAGGCTTTTCAAAAAGTAAGAGCCAGTTCCCAGGGTGCCACGGCGGCAGCCACGGCGACAAGATACCTCTCGGTGTCTATGATGACCGTGGAGCGCCGGCCGGGCCTGTCCCTCTGGGGCGTCCTTTGGTGACCTGGCACTCGCTGGGAGAGTGGCCTCCTCATGCCACGTGCACCTCACGCTCCCTAGGACTCGGAACTGCCATGGCCGAAGCCAACACGCGCCCAGGAGAATGCCGCCCGGGCCTGTGCCTGCCTCTCTCCACTCCTGTCCTGTCTGGGCGAGGCACCGAACTCAGGAACCAACCTTTAGGAAGGACAGGTCGTAGTCCCTCTGCATGTAGGTAATCTCCAAGTTCCCAAGGACCACCTCGCAGTTGTTGAGCATCCGCTGGAGGCTCAGGAAGTGGTCGTCGAACGTGCCCAGCTGGGTGAGCTTGTTGTTGGTGCCCTGGCAAACTGGGGGGGAGAAAAAGGGCATCTCATGAAATGCCCAGGAAGGCATACAATTAAAATAAAACCACATTCACAAACGCCAACGGACTCTGTGCTCCGGCGACTCAGGACGTTAATTCTGATGGAGGCAGACGTGACAGCACAGGGCTAAGCTTTACAGGGTGCAGGGCAGTGGAAGGAAGAGCTCACTCCTACACGCAGGGACGCGTTCAAACGTGTTCACAAGTCACGGGGACACAGACGAGATTCTATAAAAACCTCTCGGATGAGACAGTCGGTAAGAACCTCAGCAGGCCAAACAGTACGCATCAGAGAGCGTATGAATAATGTAATTACAACGTCGACTGAATAACTGCATCGTGAACTTTTTACTTTGCCAAAAGAGAGCACGCCGCCTTCTGCGTGTCAAAGGATATTTACAAACGTAATACACACCAGGCGACGTGTGCGGACCACCACGGGGTACAGCCGGGAGTTGATGACGAGCGCGTCAAGGAAAACCCAGAGGCGGGAGATTTAAGATCGTCTTCTAAGCGAATGCCTCGGAGACTAAACCCAAGGTCTCATTAGATAAGGTTTAGTGAATAACGAAAGGAAACATACATTCAAAAACCGCCAGTGAGAAACCGACAGCGCTCCATTCGTCCGCCCTCCCTGGGGGCCCCGCCCGCACAGGTGAGCTCCCCGTCCGGCCGGCACCGCCTCGGCGCGCTCAGCCCCTTTGAGTGCGAAGCTCTCAGACTTCATACCAGACAACATTTCCCAGGAGGGGGAGACCCACTCCGCAGTCTGTATTTCAAAGCCAAGGAGAGGATGATATGAAGTCACATTTACAAGCCCAGCTCTTTAAAGGACACGTTTAGGCAGGCGTAACAGAACAAAGGGGTTCGGGCCTTTGAAGCTGGGAGCTTTGAACCACCATCCCTCTGGGAGTGAAGACACAGGGCCCCTGGCCTCGGAGGAGACCAGGACCGGCCGGGGTCATCCGGGTCTGCAGAGGCGGCACCACCAGCGCAACCAGGGGCTGAGCCCCGAGACGAGGCCAGTCCCCAGGCAGGACCTCCTCGAGGTCAACCCTGAAACCCGCGCTGCTCTTCCTCGGCCTCTGCACGCCGCCATGGGAACTGCCCGCCCAGCATCCCCTGGCGTCTGCCCTTGCTCCTCGGTGTCAGGGCAGACAGCACAAGTTCAGACGCCAGCGCTGGGCATGAAGCTCCCCCACTCCTCATTCATCCTGTGGGGGTCCCCCCCCCTGCTCCCCGCCGTGTCTCACCCACACTCTGCGGCAGAGGGAAAGTCACATGGGAACTCTGATGGCGCCCCAGCGACTGGCTTCCAACCACAACGTTGGGTGGACCCAACGCGGCCGGCCGCTGCCTTCGCCCAGGAGTCCGGGCCGCTCGCTTTCAGCCTCGACGTGGAGCCCTTGAGCACAGTTGGCTGCGAGGCACGGGGACAGGGCCAGACCTACTTCCCAGCGCCAGGTCCTGCGTGAAGGCGCCCCCACGATGTAGGCGCAGGGTTGTGGCGGCGACGCGGGCTCCCCACCGGCACACCTGGAGGCCACCACCGCTCCCCTGGCGACAGGCCGGCCCTCCACCTTTCGGCCTACCTGACTGGCTGCGGGCTAGGTGGCCACAGGTGTTGGGCGTGCCCTCGTGCCAGCCAGGTGAACGGTGACGGCGGGAACTTGGGGGGGGGACCCCTCAGGAGTTCTCAGCCACAGAGGGAGGCACATAGCTGCTTCCACCGTAAGCGAGGAAGGACATTCGCTTGTGAGCTTCTCTACTCGGAGCCAAAGGGTGTTTACTGTCACATCGATGGGGCCCCTGGTACACGCGCCACTGAAGTTCAGCTGGTTTTATTCCAGAAACGGATGATGTCAAGAAGACGGCACCTGTGCCTTCATTCCGCCCTCCTCTCGCTCACCCAGAAAGCGCCCAGGGAGCACCTGGAGAGTTTTGCGATGAGTCTCCGTCACACGGCCTCGTGGTTCAGGGTGAGGCACTTTGATCGTCAGAAACAAAGATCCTCTCTTTGGAAGATGACAGCAGCACTGCTCACTGCTGATGTGAACGTGAATTCATGAACCGTGTTGGGGTCCCACTGGGCAGCGTGTGTGACTGAACCAATGTGCTCACGTCCCATGTCAGGAGGATCCCACTTCGTTCTTAAACTGGACCGGAGGGCCGGAACAAAAGCATGGATGGAGTGTTTGTGTGAACTAATATAAATTCAAAGTAAACATCATTACATAAAAGGGTACGGTCTTTTTTTTTTTTTTTTTTTTAGTTTTATTCATTTCAAACGGGCCGGATCCGGCCTGCGGGCCATAGTTTGCCCACGGCTGGACTAAACCAATGTGCTTTCATTCCATGTCATGAGGATCCCACTTCGGAAAACGTATCGGAGGAAAGAGACCCAAATATGGAAAAAAAAAGAAGCTTCGTGCAAAATGTTGATCGTTATTGATTTGTTTTTTAATAATGTCCCCCCCGCCCCCCGCCCCCATCGCAAAGAACGCTAGAAGCCAACTGTCCAACATGTCTGTTCTGGGGGAGAAGAAGGCTGCTGGCGTTTACTTGGTTCGGTCTGAGGCAGGCCCACCTGGCACCTGTTCCCCAGGTGAGGACTGAAGTCCCCGCCCGAGGCAATCCTGGCCCGGCCCCTGCCTCGCCCACGTGCCCACAGGACACAGCGGCAGCGGAGGGAACCCACGCAGGACCGGCATGACCCGGCCTCGGTCTCTTGATGGAACAAAGTATAATCTTGGTCCACCTTTCACACCAAATATCTCATGTTATGAAATAAAGCAATGGGAACATTTAAATGTGAGGCCACGGAGCCAGTAAATGTATTAAAAAAAATAAAAATCACACCCTGACTGGTTTGGCTCAGTGGATAGAGCGTCGGCCTGCGGACTGAAAGGTCCCAGGTTCGATTCCGGTCAAGGGCATGTACCTTGGTTGCGGGCACATCCCCAGTAGGGGGTGTGCAGGAGGCAGCTGATCGATGTTTCTCTCTCATCGATGTTTCTGACTCTCTATCTCTCTCCCTTCCTCTCTGTAAAAAATCAATAAAATATATTTTTAAAAAATAAATAAAAATCACAGACCCGCTGGCAGATTTAAGACAAAACCACAGAGAGTGAGCGCCTGTTAATTCATCCAGGAGAACATTCTTGTTCGGCCACTGCCTCATGGTGTGCCCTTGCGGTACCATCGGCAGCTCGGAGGCGCTTTCCTCCAATGCAGACCCAGGGACACCCGCCGCCCAGGCTGCCGAGGAGGCGGAACGGCAGGGAAGCTTGGAGCTCCTTCCGTCAGAGGGAACGACTGGGAATGTGCGGGATGTGACACGGGTGCATCGGACGGACGTGTGCCTGCCCCGGGCGTTGTCTGTTTCATGGGGAGCGACTGGATCTGCAGATAGGCTTAGTCAAACGTGGAGTGCTAAGCAGAGTTACTTTGTAGAACCTTCATAAAGAAGAGGAAGAGAGAGAGAGAGAGAGAGAGAGAGAGAGAGAGAGAGAGAGAGAGAGAGAGATATGCTATACTTTAAGAATGTCCTTAAAATATGCATTTAGGACTAGGTGTTTAAGCAATTATCCGAAGAGAGAAGAGATTCACTATGACTTCAGTGCTGTATGTTTGACTAACAGTGTGTGCCCAGCCCCGTGTGCCCTCTGCCTGGCTTTACCCCTCGCAAACCTGAGGGCAGATTCCACTGAGTCAAGAGCAGCAGGACCTACTCAGCACTAGTTTTTCTTCCTCAAATCTGGTGACGATTCGGAACCGCAGAGAAAAGCTGAAAGGACCGTACTGCGGACATGCTTCCGTTAGCATGTTGCTATGTTCCCCTCGTCACGTATCTACTCATCTTACTTTTTTTAAAAAAATGTTTTTACTGATTTTAGAGAGAGAGGAAGGGAGAGGGAGAGGGAGATAGAAACATCAATGATGAGAGAGAATCATGGATCGGCTGCCTCCTGCCTGCCCTGCACTGGGGATCGAGCCCGCAACCCGGGCCTGTGCCCTGACCGGGAATCGAACCGTGACCTCCCGGTTCATAGGTCGACGCTCACCAACTGACCACGCCGGCCGGGGCTGTCTTACTTTTGATGCATTTTAAAGGAAGGGGCAGATATCGGTACGCGTCACCCCGCAGGCCACCGCTTCTGGTTCAATGGCAGTTTCCTCTGCTGTTGACGGACATGCAGAGGAAAGTGTGACCTAATCCCTCTGCAGCGGGGCACCTGGCGAGTCACCCACACTCCTCTCACACGAGAGGACACATCATCACCCTACTGAGCCCTGCACGCCCCTCCCGCGGATCCCTGCCCCCCAGCCTTGCGGGCTTCAGGGCTCCACACTAGCAGATGGCGCCACGCTGTCCCTGTGGGCGAGGTGCCCTCCAGAGGGCAGCCAGGCTTCTGGGGGTCCCCACGGTGAGGCCTGGCATCTGCTCAGCTCTGAGCGACGGGCTCAGGCAAGGGCTTGTGGGAAACGGTCTGCTGTTATCCTTGGACACCGAGGGCTGGCCCACAGCCTGGCCATGTTTTTTCTCGAGTCCTACACCTTATCTTAACCGAGAATAAAACAAGCTGTCTCCCCAAGTCTCAAAATGCCCCTCCTGTGTGTGTGTGGGGGCAGAGCCTGCCCCTCCCCCGTGGCATTAGGGGCTCGGCACCCCTCTTTGCCCACAAGCCCGGGCAAGACATTCAAACCAGTTTCTTCAAGTTTCCCCCAACCCACTTAGACGCTTGGAAGTGCCTGAGTAACCGTGTAATTGCTTTAATTTGTTGTTTTCTCGACGCCACATTAATGGCTGCCCGGGCGGCTGAGCCCTCGTAAACCTCTCCCTCGGCCTCCTGAGCTGTCTCGGCCCGTTTTCCACGGAGCGCCTCGTTCTGAAGCAGAAACCACGTTTTTCTTATTTCTTCCACATTTTCTTCATTTCTCAAATTTTCTACAGTGACCAGATATGACTTTATAATAACAAGTAACTGAGGATACAATGTACGAAA